GCCGACTTTGACTCAGTGAATCTGACACAGTAACATCCTGACACATTGATATAGTAACTCGTTTGTTCTTTCGCTGTATGATGTATGCCTTCATTACTTCATCACTGAGTCACGAAGAAACTAGTCAATGAGTTAAGGGTGTGGTCGGGCAGGTTTGTCATTTCGTTTCTTTTTTTATGTTTCTTTACATAAGGAAGTTTATTCAATAGACATTGTGCCAGATAATTAGTCTAAATTTTTTATACAGAAATCCTTAGTTGGGTGAGTAGTGTAGTTGGTAGTCCTGCAGCTTCGTTTTGGCCTTGGCTGGTATTCGAACCCGGAATCGGTTATGACTTTTGGAAGAACGTCATATTTCCAGAAGGGAGCAAATGATCCATTTTGAAAGATTGTCGACGCATGGAATGGAGGAAAACAGAACAAATCTAGAGCTACGAAACTTATTTCCCAATGTCAAATACTGCGGTACTCGTATGGGTCCGTATGAGTCCCAGTGGTGTTGGGCATTCTAAAGCAACATTTGCGAGCTGGTGCTTTTAAAATTAATTTGGAAAATGTCTACTTTTCTCGACATTATAACGACCTTGAGCATACTGCTTTGGATACAAAACTTTGGATCCTAAATATTGAAACAAGACAAGTGCTCACATCCCTTATCCGGATGAAAATCATTGTCAATTATGGATCATCCTGGCAATTATCAGTCGAAAAGTAAATATCACAAAAACTGGATTTTTTATTCGCTCCAATACTGTCCACCTCGAGTAGTAAACCACTCGTTCAAAAAACATTTATATTTGGCCTTGATACATTAATGACTAACATTAATGCTGCCGTTAGCGTAAAACTTTACATTATGAGACATTATTGAGAAAGCAGTTCCATTGGTGAACAAATAATATCTCTTCCAGTTGAGGTCACGTTCTAATAAAAAACCACTAAAGCTTGAATTTGTTTATGACGAATTGAATTACCATGCAATTTAATATTACTAGTTAGAACAGGACGCTTAGTTATGCTTTTCTGTGCATAGTAGTATGGCGTTCGTGAGCGTGAATAAGTTTTTCTAATTTTGTATGCTGTTCTTGAGTCGTTGACAATAGAATTTCTTTTATTTTATTTTCTGCATAATTTACAATCTGTTCCTATCGGAACAATAAGCAAATGGTGTCAACAGATAAATTTCCGACGTGAACAATTTATGACAATGAAAGATTTCATTTACAAAATCGGTATGGCAGATCTAAAATACTCTCGTGCTCACTGTTATCTAGAAGGCTTGTTGAGAGGTGATTTGGGTGGTTGTACAATCTTCTCTGGTATGCTATGCTCTTCGTGGCGATTACTTCCTCCAGCGGGACGATGTCTAGGTCTCTGTATATCGTCTTGTTTGTCACGTACCATGGTGCGTTGCATAGTTTTCTTAGTGTTTTAGCTTCGAATCTTTTTAAAATTTCTAGATTCGATTTACTGGAAGAGCCCCAGAATTCAATACCATAGGTCCATGTTGGTTTGATTATAGTTTTATAAATCTGTATTTTGTTATGCAAGGACAGCTTTGATTGTCTGTTTATTAGCCATGACAATTTGAGGACTTTAAGCTGCGCTTCTTTTCTCTTTGTTTTGATGTGGGTTTTCCAAGTCAGGCGTCTATCCAAATGCAGACCAAGATATTTGATAGTATCAGCTTCGTGGAGATCTGTGTTGTTTAGTTTTACTTTTGGGCAGTTTTCTTTTCTTAGTGAAAATGTTATATGTTTTGATTTTGTTTCATTTACGGTGACTCGCCAACGATGACTCCAATCTTCGATTTGTTGACAATAGAATGGAGCAATGATTTTGTTGGTCAATACCCTAATTCTGGTAATGTTTTTTTAAAAAATTGTTTATGTTCTGAATGAGATTACAAACTTCAATGTCATGTCAGTTATGTCAACTTTACATTTGTGTCAGGTAAGGTTCTACAGATACAAGATACTCGTCATATTTTTCACTTGCTTTTTATAACCACAACAGTATATGAAGGAAAATCCTCGCTACTCCTTAGTCAGTGTGTTCTATCAACAATGAATATAAATCTTTATATTGCACCTGAATCCTAATTTTCTTCAAATTAGCGTTGTATTGGCTGAATTAATTGCATAACTTCATAAGGCGAAACTTCATAACGTTCATATGTGTGCAGTCCACAGGATATTTTTGTGCATAAGTCGCATTTTTCATCCAATAATTACCCTGCTCGATTACCTGGAATCTACTGCATACAGCTTAACTTAGAGAGTACATTTTCTGCAGATAAATTTTAAGAGTGTCGATCTCGCGGGTAAAACGTGGCAGAGTAGGCATTTACACTGCGAGAGAAAAAGAGAGAGATAGGAGGTGGAGAGGGAGGGGGAGGAAGGGGGGAGTGGAAGAGGAGGGAGTGGGAGAGGAGGGAGTAGGAGAGGAGGGAGTGGGAAAGGGAGAGGAGGGAGTGGGAAAGGGAGAGGAGGAGGGGAATAATCCGTTTGGCAGCGCTGCTGCTGCTGCTGAACAGTTTCGAGAGGCATTAGGCCGGCAGCAGGGCGCTGGTCGGGTGGTGGCAGGGTGGTGGTCGAAGCGATTATTAATCCGGCGTGGAAAACCCGCCTTGTGTGGGCTTTGCCCTTCCACCTCTTCCCTCCCAGGTCACCTCCCGGTTCCTGTACCCCCTGCGCGAACAGGCGCCGAAGTTCCCAGAACTTTAGTAGTGGTCGGCATTCGAGCCGTCAAACCATTCAGCTTATTGACCTTGTGCGGGGCGACGCAGCGGGGGACGGCGTGGCGCGGCGCAACGCAACGTGGAGTGGCGCGGGTTAGTAGGGGAGTTACTCCGGGCTTCGACGCCAGGCCACTGACTAAAGCGGGAATGCAAGCACCCGACCATGGAGTGGGGAGGGGGGCTGCAAGGACGCCCTTCTGTTTCGGGGAAGAGGGGGCTTTAGGTGCTGCTGTACATTCGGTCCCCGTAGTTAGGAACACGGGCACAGCCCAAGTTACATGCTGTAATATCGACGGCACTGCACCCACATGACAATCTATGTCAAAAGGGAGTTTTTCAAACGATTTCGAAAGGAGAAGGTTATACAAGCCGTCGGATTTTCTGTTATTGTTGGCGTACGTTTTGAGCCATGACTTTTGGAAATTCAATGAACATGTGACCTGCCTCATATTAAAGCATACTTTGCTCTATATGAGGAAATCAATTAATCCAAAAATTTGGAGTCATTACTGACAAAATGTTGTTTAGTGAAAGTCAATTTTTATTGAATTTATTAGCGTACTTTGATCTCTTTGGCAAAGACATTTTTGATTTAAATGATTTTTTGCCTTTGCGATCATTGGGTGGCAGTTTAATGAACGTATTTGAAGAATAAGAAAAATGGTGCAATAATGTAATTGCTAAAAAAACGTGTATTCAATATTGTGTTTGTGTGAATATTGAAAACGTGTGTTTTTCAATATTTATATTCTCCAATGGATCCGAATGATTTGATATTAAACCTATTGATTTTGAAACGAATTTTTTCATATAAGAGGCACTTTATATAAAGCTCATTCTACATTTTCAAAATTTCCGTACAATGGTTCTGCATTTTTCTCTCTATGTTTCTCTATGGCCAAATAGATAGAAGTGCGCTAATGAATGTAATAAAAGTTTGTCTTTCACTAAACAACTTTTTATCGGAAATGACAAAATTTTTGGAGATTTTTTCCCCTTCAGATAAAGCAAAGAATGCTTAAAAATAGGGCAGGCCACATTTTCGTTGAATTTTCGAAAACTGCAAAACTTTAAGTTTTTCGGTTTTTGGTACAACTACAACATTGAATATATTCCGTAAATAAAATTATTAAATAACGACTCCAAATATTTTAATTTTTTCTCGAATAGAGTACATAACAAAGACGCAGATCCAATTTCTAGAATTTCTCAGTATTTTGGAAAATTACAAATAACGAACATTGCAAAACTACGGATACTTGATAAAAGAGAAATTTTCCTCAGTGAAATTTGTTCTAAAAATAGATTTGTAAATAAAATTAGGATTAGGATTAGAATTAAAATAATTTTTAGAAAATATGAGTAGTTGTCCCGTAATCTTGTATTGAACTTTCGGCAATTTATATTTTTTCTTAAACGGTTCCATTTGATTTCTTTATTTTGCCCTTTGGATAGAGCAAATGACGTTTAAAAAATGGCACTAGTCACATTTTCGTTCAAATCGCTGAATTTTATAAAATTGAAAAAGTGGCAACTAATGCCACTTCCGGATTGTGTGACCGCTCGGGAAGCCGAAGTGGCGTTAGCCGCATCTCCCTCTCGGCTTCTTCCTTGACAGCGTGCTAGCCTTCCGTTGCACGCTCTCGGCTTCGATTCCCGGTCTGAGCAAAAATAGACCTGTAGCTTTCTAATAAAATCGTCTTCTATGGCTGTGACACGAAAGATATGATGAGGAATGCCAAGTATGTTAGATACTATTATGGGAATACATGACCGCCACAGTCTCCCTCTCTCCCAGTTGTTGATAATAAATAAAATCGGGACCCAGGCCTGGGAACGCCTCCATCAGTCAGATTAATTCGACCCTAAACTGCCAAATACGTACATACATACTACAAATAATGCGACAAAAAAAGATACATAGTGTTGTAGCAGTACTTATTTCTTGATTCTAGGCAGCGTTGTGAGAGGATGTGCATGAGCTTCGAGCTTAAATATCGTGGTGAATAGTAATTTTTGTATTGATTCTCCTGGCAATGCGGCGCAACTTTCCATTGACGTTAGACGTCGTAGAGAAAGTACGTTGTGTCTATTAAAAATTATACACAATTAGTCGTACAATATTTCAGCGTTGTGTCCAACTAATGGGCTGAATGGCACACTGGGTTACTAAGGGTAGGTCGGGGACAGATACTAGATACAGCCGCTCACTCTATTGGCAAGGAGTGGAAGAACGCGAAGTCAGGCAGGCAGGGGCAGTTGAGGGTCAGCCGTCGTGCAGCGCAGAACGGGACTCTTCCAGCGCTCAATGGAAAGGCTGCTGAAAGACTGCTCGGGGGTAGTGGTGCTCTTGAATGGCATAGAAGGTATGACCAAAAATACGTTTTAACTTTGTTTTACTAAAAAAGTATTCATCAATATTTATTTTGACCCTTTAGAATAGTTCCCTTCAGATATAAAATATTTGTGCTAACGTTTTCCAGCCTTCGATGCACTTCTGGAATGCAATTTTCGCTATGGCGTTTATCTCCAGCGATTCTGCTTTTATTTCTTCAATGTTGGCAAAACATTTTCCTTTCATGTGTTGCTTAAGATTTGAGAATAGGAAGAAGTCACGGGGTGATATACGGTGGCTACTATTGCAAACATTGCAACTGCATTACAGGCACATTTTATTCAGCATACCAAGATTCTAATAGAGAGCAGTAATAAATTAATAAAAAATAAATATAAAATTATAAATTATAAAAAAAATTATATGGTATTTTATTTCTATTTAATAATGTTAATTAACATATAATAAATTGTTATATTTAATATAATAAATTAATACTGTTAAATTTATTTCATATATATAAGTTTAAAACATTAATAAAAATGTACTTGGCCTTTTCATTCGTATTTTGGAGCCGACAAAAAAATGCAATCATAATAAGAGTATATTACGTTCCAATTGCAGTAGTATTTTTATTATTGCAAACAATAGGTTTTTTTCTGATTTTGTGACCTGTTCTTTAAGAAGCCTCTTAAAAATGAAACAAAAGCAAAAAGTCGCCATAAAAACGCCTGTAGTGTGTCGGCAAAATGTCGTGAATGTATGCACAAACTACAAATGCTATAACCTCAATAATTTCTCGCGTTATTTATAACTTTTGAAATTTTCGTAAATTCAGATACTTAAACGAAATTGAGTCCTGCGCCATTTTAAGGGTTCTCTCTATTCGACTAAAAATCAGACAAAAATTGGAGCCATTTTGAGAAAAACTGCCTTTATTTCAAGCAAAGCAATTCAAGCAAAATTTATAAAATATTGACTCTTAATGTAAAATACACACAAAATCTAAATTTTCTTTTTCAAACTTATTGAACTCGAGATCGAACTCATCGATCAATTTTGGAGAAAATCGTCTACGTGATATACGTGCTAGCGCCGACCACAAACGGACGCAGAGCAACGTAATGACTCACACAACGTAAATTCTGCCTTCTCAACGTATTAAAGAAAGTAATTTACTACATATTTCAACAAAATTTATCTTTAAAACTTTTTCGATATCTAGGCCTCACAATACGAAAATCTCTATTGAAAAAGTACATTTTTTGACATTTTCTTAATTTTTCGGTTTCCTAAAAGTAGAACGGAATTATTTTAAAAATATTAAATAACCTAGTCCTGAATGGCAATTTCTTTTGAAATATTTGGAGCCGTTTTAAGGAAATCGCGCTTAAGCGCTACTGAAAATTCGAAGTTTAAAGGTATTTTTCACAGACAATATTTTCGTTTTCAAAAACTACTTTAGACGTCATTTGAACCATTTCTATAATTAAAAACAAAAATACCTCGAAATGGACGTCATATTGAAGAGTGCAATTAGCACTATCCGTTTGAAAAGTTTGAAGAAAAAAATTAGAGCAGTTTCAGAGAAAATCATGTATTTGTAATTTTTTTTAAATTGCACATATTGGTTGCAATATTTGCGCGAAAACAACTAAATTTTCAAAAATGTACAAGACGTTAATGAAAGAATAAACTATGGAGAACAAATTTTATTTGAAGAAAACATCTTTATCTTCAATATTGTAGTTGTAAGAAGACGCCGAAAAAACAAACAGACTGACATTTTGAAAAACATGTTAGATATCTGGGGTGTGTGCATTTTGTAATCTTCAAATATAATCGTATCTGTGTGTGTGTAAAAACGAGTATATCCGTTCAAATCTCGAAATCGATTTTACGCAGCATTACAGAGCTTTCCATAAACGTAAACGTAAAAATTGAACACTAGAAATGGTTGCAGGTTCTACCTATCGGTTCACGTGATCGCATTTAGTAACAATTTTCGAATTTCTTTCTTTTGTTGAAGTTTTTCACGAGACCTCAGTTCTAAATACGACAATATGTATGCTGTCACGGCAGTGTGAAATTCTCAGAATTCCGTCGCCGTGTTGGGTTCCAATTCTGGTAGTATCGAATTTGTGTTGATGCATTTTCTTTAAAGAATTAGATTTCGCACCTCAAGCAGTACAATTGGTATTGAGATTTACAATTGATGGCTGAGACGTGTTAATACAGAGAGAAGTATTATAATATTACGTAACTGTTGTGTTAAATATTCTATCGTAGGACTACTGCTTCTCAAAGAATTGCAGGTCGCTGAAGAATTTTATTTCGCTGCTTCTGCCCGAAGGGTTGTTCCAATTCGACATAAAATCCACCTGGGTGGTGAATCCGAGGCTGCAGTGTGTATTTCATCGGACTATACCTGGCGCCACGCTAGCCCCGGCCCCCTCGGCGTGGCCGTCGGTGTTCGGCGACCGAGGACCTGCTGTCGATACGCTTGATTGGTGAGGCGGCGTGCTATAGGGGTAGGACGGCCTTCCCGCCGCGATATTGTGTGTTGGGATCTCATTGGCAAAGCACGAGACAATTGTGAATTCCACAGCGGACGAGAGGCTCTTTGTGAGAGTCGGATGAATTGCACGCAAAGATAATAGAAGTTGCGGGTGATGTACGTGGATTCCACCTGTCCTAAATACCTGCCCATGTCCACAATATGTGACAGCGCATGAAGAAATGGTTATTCACTGCTTGCATGTGTTCAAAAACTCTTTTAAGAGAGAATTGAAATGTATTGACAAAAATGAAATGTATTGTAACGGTAATTTCCAGGATGAATGTACGTTTTGTTGTTATGAAGAATTTTCATGAGTTATTTTCATTGCTAGAACAACAGTTGTGCTGTAACTTTAATGTGTTCATGATATCTATAAACCTTGTGAGGCAGAAAGTTGTCTAAATGAAATACCATATTTTCCAAGGGTACCTATTAAAAAACTTACCTGAGGATATCCTCTCAAATGTATACTGACAACGATTATAAAGTTAGTCACAATAAAATTGATAAAATAATGCATGGACGAGAGAAAATACGGATTTGAGTCCTGTAACATCCTATACCACAAATTCCATTCTTCTGCTATCTTGGATAAATAAGAATAAAATCTATTTTCGGACAGAAGCGTCATTACAGAATATCGAGTACCACAATATCGAACAATATACCAGATATAACAGTTATAAACAAGGTAAAAGAAATCTAGAGTTAAAAATTTACAATGTGATAATGCGAACGTATGTTCCGCTAACGCAAGTGAGTGAACTCCTCGTCAATGGTGACTTCAAAATATGGGCATACTACCATAATCATATCCCACACAGTATTAATACCCACGGCGCGCATGTGATGAAGTGTTGGAATTACCGTTTTAGTGCGTGGAGTATACGCTAAAGGCAGATATGCTGAACAACTGCAGAATAGTGAGAGAATTCCTCTGATGTACTGGTAATTGGGACTTGATTGACTCAGATTGTCTCGAGCGCAACATTGGTTCGGGTCCTGACATTGCGAGATCGACCGAGGCTAGATCAGCAATGGACAGGTGAATGTTCCTGCACATAGTGAGGAGAGAGCGGACAACAACAACAACAACCACAATAATAATAATAATAATAATAATAATAATAATAATAATAATAATAATAATAATGATAATGATAATAATGATGATGATGATATGGGCAACTTTACAGATTACATTCGGAAAAATTCACCGGAAGACTCTTTCATTATTTCACAAAATTAAAAATGACCAATACGCGGTTTAGAAGTTGAAAAGGGCTGGGAGTAGCTCAAAATTACACAAGCAGATATTATTGAGCGGTCTTCAATGACGTCTAAACTCACGGAATTCCCAGGATTTCAGGACAAGCGAAAAAAAGAAGACATGGGCCATTTAGACTGAGTAGAAAAAAGAGAAAAATCGGGCCAGAATGAAAGTGATACGGAAGCAAGGAAAAACAGAAAGAGACAGCAAGTTGAGTACGCGTAGTTCCTCAGAAAAGAAAAAAAAATAATGAGGATGATGTTGCAAATATCAATACATAACTAAATATCAATACATAACTATACTCAAAATTTTCCTCTAAATTATCTTGCCTCTAAAAATTTATTATTTCTAAACGATTGGTACAGAAATCAGATTCATATCTTTACATAAAACATTACAAAAACATGATTCTCACGACGCTCTAACTCCTGGTTCATTTTTGCATTAGTACCGGGTTTAAAGAAATTGAGGTTATTATTTTCTGAATCTAGGCTAAGAATTTTAAATAAATTACTTTTCCTACACCAATGCAATCAAATTATTTTAAATTATTCTGTTATAAATAATTATGTAAAATGTCAGTTTATTGTTATTATATTGTATGGTTGGTAGAATATGGTAATACTTGTGTTCTTTGAATAAAGATTTCAATAGGTAATGACTATTTTTCAAATTTCGATCATAGAAGAAGCGTCAGTTACTTCATAACTGTCTGACTTCGTGAATCGACATGTTATCATGACCATTGGTACAACGTCCGGACTGATTTTTGTGCAATGTATGGTTGGAACATTCTATACAGTTTACGTCGGTAGGAGACATGTACTTCCCATATGCCATTAATATATATGGCCGAATACTCGTGACTATAACTTATTTTTCATTACTTAATATAAGAAAATACGTGAAACTTATTTCTGACTGTTTCACCGAAAAAAAATTAGACTTTGTTGACATAAGTAATGCGATAAATGACTAGAATAATGTTCTCACTTTGATAAATTTGAAGAATCAAATTCGTACAAATATAGTACAAACATACTACTTATGGTCATTTTTACGACTTCTACTTCATAACATTTAGACCCTTTCGTTTTCCTTATCGAATTATAAAATGTTCATTTTTCCTGTGCGTGCACTCATTAGAGAAGTGGTAGGAAAGCCAGTCGACAAAAAATAAATAAACAAGAAATAACTG